CTCAGTGCATTTTTTTACTAATAATAAAAAGATCGCTGTTTCACTGTTGTTTCGCAGTTTGGGTGCCAAGCGGTTAACACTAGGCTCCGAGCAGCGATCTATAAATTTGCTTGAAGATATCTTATTTAGAGGTGAAACACGTGTCGCAAAAAGTGCGTGGACGAAATGACAGTCGGCGATTGATGGCTAATATAGAGGGTTGTAAAAGTTATGCTAATAATAATAATAGTAGTCAATCTGCGAGCATTGGCAGGTGTACACATACTAATGGTAGCAGAATTAAACAAAATAATTCTAATCAAATAACCAGTGATATGGAATTCCACAAAATAACACTTCAGTAAAAGATAGCTGTCACCTGTATTGTTGTACCACGCAGTAGATAGCAGATATAGTCTTGAGAAATGGTGTAGTGAGTTTGACGGTATATGTTCCTGGTGGGAATTTCGGAATTATTTATATATTTGATTTTTATACATCTTAAGGAATGTACTTGCAAAATTATAGCAGTAGTTTTGATATTTTATGACATTGAATGAAAGAGTAAGAGCAAATTTAAGTTTTATATAAATGAGTAATATTAAACTAATATAGAAAATGGTTTTAATTAAAATACGTACTAAAATGTTTGAAAAAGTATAATAAAAAAAAATACTTATAAACGTATTTCTTTATATCTGATTCGAACTGTAATTATTATTGGCATTATTTGTAAAAATAAAGAACTGCTATTGTACAGAACTTTTATGTATACTATAAATAGCATACTAGTATTAGCGCAGAGACAGTTTTTTTTTGTTATCTTTTTTATAGGTTTGTTTTTAAAAAACGTATAACAGCTATAAAAGTTTTATTATTGGCTGCAGCTGTCTCCGGTGGTGCATTTGTATGGACCTCGTACTTATGTCGGAATGACATAAGTTAAAATGAAAAAAATATCATACATATGACTGGGATTTTAGAATTATAAATAAAATTAATTTGTTGTGGGTTTCCACATAATGCCTTCATATTAGATGGTTTTTCATTTAGATGGTCTTTTTTATGTCAATAACATTAATATAAATAAATTGGCATGTTTACCAGTGTGGTGTTAACCTCTATGTCATTATCACGCAGACATTTAAGTAGTTTTTTTTTATTGAATTAAAGCAACGTAAACATACAGTTGTTGACTCTTATACATAAAAATAATAAATTTATTAAAATACACTACATTTTTTGAGTAAAAATGGATCCAAATTTGGGTAAAAAATAATACTTAACCAGGTTTTATTGTTCTTTTTAACGAGAGATATGCTCTTGAAAAAGAACTGTATATTTTACGAAATAATAAGACGGTCGCTGCTAGTGGTAGAGAAAAATATAATCACGAATGATGACATTGTCAAATATCAAAAAACAAAATAAAAATTTAAAAATATTCTCTAAAAAGGTGCGTTCTGCACAGTTCTATTATTTCTGTGTTTGAGCACAGTAAAGTTTCATTGAAGTGACTAAATTATAATTTAATATTGCGAGTAACCGTTGTCATCTATTTATTTTGTCGATAAACGGAGGAAGTATAAAATTAAGGGGTGAGTTATGCACAAGGGTTGAGTTAAACTGCTGAGTATAGTTTACATGGTAGGTAATTAAGGAAATTGTAACGATAGTACGATTAGAAAAATTCAAGTTTATAAATGGATTAGTCAATACCTCAGTAAAATTAACTTTATACATTTATACTCTACTAGTTATATCCCGCGTCTTTGTCCACGTGAATTAGTATATAAAATATTCTAAGTTACGGTAATGACCTATACGTGTACCAAATTTCATTCGAATCCGTTACCTAGTTTTTGTGTAAAAAAAAATAACAAATGTCGGTCCATTCAAATATCTTCACAAACTTTTATATTTATAATAGTGTTAGGATGTCCAGGTAGAGACGGGAGAGTTAATGACTGGTTATGAACTGAATAGGGGTTAGTCAGATGTAAGTTAGAATTAGTTAATAATACTGCATTCTCATTTATATTATTAAGACCAACTTTATCTTTTACAATAGATTTGTGACCACGTAAGAAGACACATATTCTATAGTTTTATTCGTTTTACTGATGTGATGGAAGAGTCATAAATAAAAATAAAACAATTCATTTATCTATAATATAATGCTATTAACGTCTTGTAAAAGGTTTGTAATGTTAGGGAGATAGTTAAGTTTGACATGTGACACAAAAGTTAAGTTTCAAAATTGAGTTCTGAATACTATAGTAATTTGCGACAATAATAATATTTACATACTAACTATTTACTTATTTTCGCCATGTGGTCCCGGTATTGAATAGGCCTCCCCTTCCTTTCCCGTGAGTGTTGATAAAGGAGTAAGTGTTGACTAAAGGAGGGCGAGGGATAGGCAGCAGCGTCCCTCTTAAAACTAACTGTCTAACTCCTAAAAGCCTAACTGCGGTTGCCAATTCCGCCTGCAGTGTGACAACTATTGGCATAACTCCCCTTATGGGAAAGGCTTATGTTCAGCAGTGGACAGTTAACGGCTGAAATAATAAATAATAATAATATTTACTTATTTATAGTGTCTTTTTTTAAATAAGTAACTTTGATACACTGTGCTTATGTCCAATAAATATATATTTTGATTAAATATCAGAATGTGATTCATTAATGTTAAAGTTACAACACAAATATAAGTTAATATAATACTGCACGTTGAACAAAGATAAAAATGTGGACAATCTAAATATTGTTGAAATCGACAACATTACGTGCGCCTGCGCAGTTCGTTGCAGTTGATAATATTGTTAGATACGTGAAACTGATATAACTAATTATTAGATTAGAGATTATAATCAAGTATATCTAACATCAAAAGTTTCGTAACTCAACGTTCTGTTTTGTGTAAAAAAAATCTTTTCTCTTTTTCTATTTACGTTCGTTTGACCATCAAATTCTATATTTTTTTATAGTAAAATATGGTTTTTTTTGGATTAGATTTTTTATTTGTATATATTAGCTATTACCCGTGACTTTGCTCGTGTGAGCTAGTAAATATATAAAGCATCCTATGTGCAAAGTTAGCATATAAACTATCCGTGTATCAAATTTCATTCAAATCCATTCAGTAGTTTTGCATTAATGAGTTATAATTATGCATCCATACAGATAAATGTTACAAACTTTCGCATTTATTATATTAATAGAAGAGTGGTGAACAATCGGTCATCGACATCAACGTCAGGCTATCACAGGTTTTATTAATATAATTAAAATGCAATGTTTTAACGGATTAACATGAATTGTTCATAGCAATATATAAGAATTTAAATTTCAAATAGTTGTATGGGCAAATGAAATGGAAAAACAACCGTAAATTTTAACTATAAATGAATTCTTGAATAAGACTCTTGGAATATATCTATAAAATTATAAAGAGAGAGAGAGAGAGAGAGAGAGAGAGAGAGAAAGGAAGAGAGAGCTAGGTTTAGACATTCATCATTGAAAATCGTTGTCTCTAAAGCTATCTCTATTACTGTTAAGTGAATATTAGTCAATTTGTATTTTGTAAATTGATTTGATTATTTTTAAGTAATTAAATGAGGTGTTAATTGCAATTTAATGTAGATTTCATTTTATATTCTTGAATAAACTGATTTGATACCATATTAATACATCACAAATGTTGACCAGTTCGACGCTATTTCAAATTATAATGCCAAATCTCAGCATAATTTGACCCGTGGTGGCCATGATATTTACACAGATAACTGTCTTAATTGTATTATGTTATTCAGTAAGCACTTGGGAAGCTGCCATTAGATGAGCTAGTTATAATTGTAAACAGAGAGATATTTAAAGTCCAATACGAATTAAAACTTGTGAAAGAAAGCAGAATTTTTAGAAATGAGAGAAGACATTTACTTTTTTGTATAAAAATAATATTACATTTTTTTTAAGTCTTTACAGGATAGATCCCAAGTCGACAAAGTCCAACAGATAACAAAATAAAATTCAATCATATTTAACTGTAATATAATAGTGAATATTCTAGCCCTTGTAAATTCCGTCAGAGAATAAAGAGATTAATTAAGTAATTAGTGAAATAGTCGAAAATAACATCCTTTTAGACCTTATAAGTGATAACATATGTTTGATGTTTAAATGGCGATAAAATCTATTAAAATATCTTTATACCTATAAGGAAATATAGCGGTGTTTACGTACAAACTGTAAAATGTAGTACTATCAAAATGTAAATTATATCAGTAATAATAAAAATAAAATAATAATATATACTAAAATATAAATATATATTTAAGTTTCAGAATAATATAAGTCAACTAACTTTAAGACTTAAGAAGTGGACGCTACTCTGTACTAAAAGAAGTACGTTGAAGTCTTTAGTTAAGAAGACATCTTACAGACGTATTTTTTTTTATAATTTTTTATCAATTATATCAATAATAAATTAGTTCACATAATGTAATGTCTAGAAAAAAAAAAAAACAGTATATGTGGTTATTTATTAAATTAGCTTATTTATATTCATCCCCAGCGTTCAACATTCCTTCATCATTTAACCATGAAAACCGAGGTGATAGTGAATGGACGGATACTTTCACATATAATATTAGTATGAATTTATAGATGTATTAATTTCTAACAACAATAAAATTGAAAAAAAAAAACGATATGTCATACTGAATTATGTAGAGCTTTTGAAGACTAGGCAGCATGGTCTCCGACCTTAGCCTGTTCCAAACGGAACAAACGTACTAAAAAAAAAAAATTATGTAGAGCTCTTAATATTTCGCGTAGGAAACCGAATTAATCATTTTAATGATAAATATTAAAGAGTATAAATAAAATACTTATAATTACATAAATAAATTATTAATAATAAGTGATTATATTTGGTTTTAAATTAATTTTGATTGTGATAAAAAATATGATGGCGGCAAAACAATTTGAAATAAACGGTAGATAATATTGGCACTAACCTGTCTACAAAGAAGACATTCACTATAACACAGGCACAAAATCCTTAAATAAGTTCGTTTCACTGGCACTTTGTTATGTGAAATAAAAAAGAAATAAAAGTATAATTAAAATATTTGAAAATGGAACGGTTAACGTTCCGCGTTCAAATTTCGAAGCGGCTGGGTCCGCGGTGCGCGCGCGAATGTCGACCGGTCACGTGCGCCCGCCCACCGGTCGAGCGACACCTGTTACCTTACCAAATTAAATAGGTAGGTGCATACGACGTACAGGGTTTTTTCCCTTTTCCGGTCTTGAACCCTTTATCGCTACAGGTCTTTGTTGTTTCTTAGGATTCCAATAATTTAAATGCTCATTATTTTAATCGAATTATAATTGTAAGATATTTCAATTTGTAATACGAGGTAGGTATTGTATCATATTTTTAAAATATTAAAATCTAATTCCAGTTTATAATCGTCTCAAGGTTTATTGTATTTGAAAGTAGCACTATTAATAACTGTTTACTAATAAAACATCAAATTGTGATCCTTTCTATTGAATTGATTTGTTTGTTTTAATCTCGCCAGATACAAGGACAATAGATTGTGTTTGAAAAACTGATAGTTTTTTGTGAGAGATTAATTCAATACCAATTACTATCAGCTTTTTGTTTTATTCTATTTATTACCTTTTTAAACATATTTAGCATTTGTTTTGTTAGGTAGTTGCCGGTTGCACGTTATACCTATTTAAATCGTATTTTATTTTTACATACTTATTTATTATATGTATACATAGATGTATATATTGTATTATATGTTGCCTGTATTTATTGAATTATACTTATCGTAATAAAATAAATTTAATACACAATATGTAAATAATACGAGATATAACAATTCGGAATTGTTATTGAAATTAATTAATGTTCAAAATAAAATAATATATTTTTATTATTACTCCAATGTTTTGCATAATATACCACTTTATAATATATATTTTATTTATTTCTATCATTTGTCATACATGATTATTATAATTTGGCACCATTGTGTCTATTATTATTTTTTATTCGATTTATTCCTAGATATTAGTAATAAAGTATAATATATTTCAAAATATTTTTTCATAGGATAATGCAAGAATTTTAAATTTTTACTTTCATATAATTAATACCAATGTCAACTGAAATAATTTTCTATGGTATATTGCCAACATTAATTAATATTGTAATACATTAAACATTACAACATAATAAATTCATTAAAAATTAATGTATAAATCAGTCTTTTTATAAATAGTTTGATAAAGTATTGACAAAGCTTGATTAAAATAGGGTATATATGCAAACATGGTACTTTTAAATTTGTTAGGGTTATGCGTCTAACTCGCAAAAGCTCAGGTAAGCTGTTATCGCCCGGAGCAACTCGGAATAAAATTGCCCCTGATTGGAATTGGAAATAAAGAAATGTATTATGTTTTCTATAATATTCTATAAAAACTTCTTTTGTTTCCTTTAATTCAATGAAACGGGCATGTGTAAGCATAATGCAGACTGTTTAAAAAGATGACCGCAATGGAATTTATAAAGTAATTGATAAAGAGTCTCGTCAGTCGCAAGAATAGTTGGAAAACATACGTGGGTTATAATTCTTAGTGCAGTATTATGACGTTACCTATTAAAACTTTCCGTTCTTTATAAATAAGAATGTGAGTTCTTTTTTCTGTTTGTTAGGTGTGTTGTAAACGTGTTTAAATTTAGTATATATTTTTATTTAGTATTTGGGGTAACGAAGGAAGGATATAGACCACTTTTTATACCTTTTATATATTTGTATTTATATACTTTTTATATATTTTTGTTTGTTCGATGAATATGAGCGCCTACATCATGGTAACGCTAATGAAATTGTAGATAAAAATTTGTATTATTATGATTAATAATATGAGTTTGTTTGTTGGTTTCCTCTTGGAATCTTAAGACCTTAATCATTTACACATATTAATAAAAATTACTGTAACTCTCTTCTTTTGTAAGTCGATATAAAGGTGATTAGGCGCATTGGCATGTTACATGTAAGTTGCTACTATGTATTCGACTCTTCAGAGAAACTTCAAGCATAGGTCTTTCGTAAGCTGTCTAAGTGAACCCCAATTGATAGCATATCCATGTTCTTTTGACAGGCAAATGCATTATTCGTAATTATAGGACTTTTGTTTTTAGGATTTTGGTAGGGATGAAGTGAAGATTCCTAAAATGTAAATGTTTGTATATATTGTGATTGCTAAGGGAGGGAATTGGGAAACTGTCAAGCTGGTTAATATAAATAAATTAGTTGCCTTTAGTTGGTAAATATAAATAATAAATAAAAATGATTTTACGAAAACTTTTACGAAATTAGGTAATTTTAGCATAGTTGGAGTATTTTCTATATGTATATGTTATATATATATATAGATTATATATCTGCATTTATTATATAATAAATGCAGATGTATAATAATTATCGAATATTTTGTTCATTGAAACGGTTCTAATGATTTCTTATCAGTATTTTCTATCATCGGAGTGTGAAACAGGAATTTAAATTAACACAAAGTTTTTCTTGTTGGCCGGACTTGAACTCACAACCTTTGGGGTTTACGAGTATTAGTCGATGTAGTATACCATCAGACCACAACGCTCTCGGTTTACTAACACTTATCAAATATTGACGTTTAGTTGTTTTCAATTACTGTAATTGCTCCTCCTTGCAAGTCACGCTGCAAACGATGGAAAGCTTTCAAATTTTGTATCAGTAACCGTCCGTAATTATGATTGACTGATGTAACGCGGATTGATCGTGGAAAATGAATTACTTGTTGTATGAGACGTAAAATTGATTCGATTAAATAAATTAGTGTTAAAGAGTAGCATTTTTTATGTAATTCAGAATGTTAAGCTAACAGTCCCCTGATGGAAAGTATTTTTTTTTTAATTTTTTTTTAATGGGTGATAATGGAATAGTAACCCCACCCGCGCTATCGGTATACACCGGCGGGGACACCAGTGAAGGATGATAGGTGAGGATGAAGCTGGTCAGTCAGCCCATCGTGACGAATTCAACAAGAATTGTTCACGATGGTTTCCAGGGGGAACCACGTGGAGGTCGACCTAATAGGGCATATTGCTAGCAATGAAGCTGTCAAACTCCATTGCTAACAATCGCTTTTCCCCCTGATGGAAAGTATTAACCGTCATATATAGATATGGAAACAGCAGTGATGTTTACTATGATATTCATGGTATCCTTAACGACTTCCATTTGTTAGGAGTAAGATGAGGAAGACCTATGTTCGGTAGTGGACGGATAATCGCTAAGATGATGATAATGAAGATGTTGTATTGTACCTCTACCTTCTAATTTATGCCTTATACACAGTTATACAAGTACAGTTAATGGGCGGCCAAACTGGTAGAGATATCAATGAAGATGATTTTTCTGCAGTCTCTATCTGGCAAATCTTGCAGATTTTTTATTTTTTATTTTTTATACAACTTAGAATGGCAAACAAGCTGACGGCCCACCTGATGGAAAATGGTAACTGTCGCCTATAGACATGAGCAGCACCATGGACATAACAGAGTATACTGTTTCGCCCATGATACTCCCCATGCGTTGCCATTCCTGAGGACTCAGATGTTTTCCTCTGTACCCAGTAAATTCACGCCATATCCCACCATTCAAACCGAAACACAGTCATGCAAACACAACTGCTTCACGGTTGAAACACGAATGGGACAGAGGTACCCAAGCAATCGACTTTTGTACAAAGTCTCCCTCTGGTAAATGGTGATTCTAATTCACTTCTGTACCTTCCATGAAAACCCGTCCAGTAGTTTTTAAATATCGTGAACATAAAGACAGATAGACGCGGTGGGGACTTTGTTTTATAATATGTAATGATGTGTAAAGTGTGTAATTATATCTATAGATGATTGTTACTTAATTTTTAAAGAAATTAATAAAAATTAATTAAAATACACATGGGCCATGTTCTATTTTATTCTTATCGAAGCCACGGAATATAGCTAAAGATATAGATAGAGTGAATAGTAAATATTTATCATACAGTATTAATACGAAGACATCGTAAGGTAGTGTGACAGGAAGTGTCAGGGGTGCTAAACAAGTGGGGCGCCGGCTACTGTGCCCAGTGGAGCGCAGCCGAGACGCTGTCGACCAGCGGGTCAGATACGTGATATGGGAGCAGGCCACATTAGACCATGAATGAATTATGAACATTAATCACTTTTTTTATACTCAAAATGACTAATAAGCTGATGGTCCATGTAATGAAAAGTGGTAACCATTGCCCATAGAGATGAAGAGCATGATGGACTTCACATCATCACACGTGGTCATCGCTATATATAAATGAGAAATATAAATATATAAATGTGAAACTAAAAAGGAATAATATTTTTAAGCTACTTCTAAAAAGGGCGTTACTTTGATCATTCCTTTTGCAAATAAAAAAGTTTATTGCCCTATTGGTCCTATATAAATTTTTTGACGTTTCAACAAAGCTGTTCTTTTTCTTTGCGGAGCAAAAACACTGTAAAGAGCTAGTGTTGTGTGTTCACAAACGAATCTGCTTTTTAAAGGAGCAAGATGTATAATAAAGTATAAAGTTTTGTTAGTAGAGTAAATGGTAATCTTAATTTACTTCATCACTAAGTAATAATTAACATGTGGATTGTTTTCAATGTACTATACGAGTATGCAAACAATCAGCTTATGAACATATCCGATGTCTTATCTTCCCGCCTGAGCGAATAAGAGGATGTTTGAAGCCTGAGAGCGAATCTTGAATGATATCACTACTAAAGTATTCCAACCTTTGTTTGCACAATAAGGTTATGAATAAATAAATGCAGATATATATGAGTGAATCATGAATGAATTTGAAGACTGTATGACTATTTCTATCAACGTACTTACTGATTCGTAAATGTTTGACACAATATGCTTATACTTTTGACTGTTATGGCCTTGGAGACAACAAGGTTGCCTTGCAAGTCCTATATTAATTGTTTGATCGTTGTATTTTAGATTCAATTATATTCAAAAATATGTTAAAATTTGTTAGAATTTCACTTAAATTATTTGACATGTGTTTAAATAAAAATGCTCGTTTAATTACCAAAATATGTAAATACATATTAAACAACAT